CTTGTACTGCGTGAACATTTGCTTTGATTATCAGACTTTTGCAACACAGTGATCTTTGCTGTTGAAGCTGCTATTTGAGCATCCAATTCCAATTGCTCCTTTTTCCGTCTCAGTTCTTCCTCCTGTTTTTCAATGGCATGTTTAGCTTTCAATGTAGCAACACGTGCCAGAAGTGCAGCCTTTTCTGCCTCTGCTTGAATACATGCAGATGATATGGATGAACTACTACTACTGCTGCTGCCTGAACTGCGTTTACTACGCTTGGAGGTCGCATGAGACACATTTGAGACGCCGTCTCCAGGACCAACATCACTCTCTGCATTGCCCACTTCAGATATTTTCTGACCTTCTGGCTTGTCTGATAACCATTTATTTACACGGTCATTGAACTCATTGATTGGTATCATCTTTGCTTTGAACCATATTTCATGTTTTTCAGCCTCATCAACCGGTAAAATAACCAACAGAGACTCATGAGTGTCTTTAGCCTCTGAACACAACCTCTTAAAATCTTCAAAGGCCAAACGTACCTCAGGTTCATATTCTTTGTCATCATATATTAAATTGTTAATTGACTCTATTAATTTCTGAGCCTTGTTTAACTTTGCCTTTCTTAACTTTTGCAAGGTGTCAAGTTTTTCTACCAAAGCTTTAGCTGTTAGTTTAACTGGTCTTTTTTCTCTTTCAGACTCTATATCAACACTAGGCAAACCTTGCTTTGACACAGTAACCCCTTCAGAATTCATACACTTTTCGTTTTCCATTTTACAACAGCTATGAACAAACAGAATTAATACATGCAAAGTCAGTCAATCTTTGGCAACCAATGCATTGGATTTATGCTTGATCCCGATTGTGTGCACACATACTTTCATATGGCCATTATGATGTTGCAACAAACGTACCTATAATCCCGTTGATCGGCCTGAAGAGACGAGCGCGCCGCGTAAATCCAACGACAAATGCGGCAAACCAGAAGAAATACCATCCAAACGATTGATGTCCTCAATCCATTGTCCTCATGTGCAGAAACAAGAAGCCTTTACCCAAACAAACGGCGTCGTTCTTGTCCGTCGAAACACATGCATTGACGCCTGATCCAAGCGAACTCCTTTTATCCAATGAAGCAGTTTTTGACTTTGTGTAACGGCTTTCCAGTAAGCTGCTGCCGTTGATAATATGAGTGAACAAGTTCTAGAACGCGTACAAACAGAGTCCGTGCAAACGGAAATAGATGCTAAACAAATGTCTTTCTTTATTTGTGCTCCAATAACAATTGTTCCAAAACCA